TCTATATACAATTCACGCATACCTACTGCATTTATTAATTATTACGCCAGGAAAAATATTTTTTATTGTCCGGAAAAATTTGTTTTATTGTATCGAAAATACTTACGCGTACACAGGTACTAAATGAGTTGATTTAAAACATTTAAGAAAGGGTATAGAAAGTCTTTGAAAATAAAACATTGTACAAAAAAGTTTATGAATAATAAAAACATGTTATATTTTTGTAACACTCATGTATGATTTTTAAATTTTCACAGAATATGAAAAGTCAATAAATGTAAAAAACAATAAAATAATAGTTTGGCTTAAAAATAAATATTAATTGTACAGTATTCTATTAAATTCTAGTATTTTAGTATTTATACATTTTTTTTTTTTTTTATATTAATTAGTATCTATTTTATTAATATAATTATTGATATAATACTTCACAATATTATATAAATATCAACCTGCATCTGTGAATTATATATATCAAAATTATAATATAATAATTGATAGACATTATTGAATTTCCATAAAAAATAAAATAAGTAAATAAAATTTAGAGATGATTTTATTAATGTTTATTAAATACAAATCTGTATCAAAGACCAATTTTTCTTTACGGTGTGTATCAGTTACAGTTAAATCACTTTAGTTAGTTAAATTAAACACTAGTTGTTAACAATGAGAAGCTTATTTTACATTAAATATAAATGATTTATTATTTTTCGTATCATAGAAATTATATCAACTAATTAAATATTGAAAAAAATTATATTGCCGGTATTTTTTTATCAAGTTAAATAAAAAAGTAATATTATCAGTTAACACTTGAAAAACAACAAAGTATTTTTTATTCTTCATTACATTTTTGCCTTATTTAATAACTTAATATTATATATATTTATGCTTATATTAATTTTTAAAAGAGTTAAATAAAATTAGAAAATTATGTATTTACTAGTGTAAAGTAAAATTATTTTAAAATAATAATAATAATAATATTAATAATATATACATTGTATAATGAACATGTTAGTATTATCTATCAGTTCCTTTTTCAGACAAAATTAATATCAATTTATAATTATCTTTATATATATATACATATAAAATCATAATGTAGAATAATAATTTTAAAAAAAGGTAGTTTTATGTTAATAATTACAAAATTTATTTAAAAGTTTTAAGTGTAAAAGAATTGATTCCTATTGAATGTATCCACTTTTCTACACTTCAAATGTTTTACAAATAATAATTATCAAGTTACCCAAAATATGACTTTTTTACAAACAAATAATTCATAATTTGATATACATTGTCGTATACAAAACACTATATTGCATTCCATTTTTAAATTAAATTAGAAAGCCAATTTAATTACACAATTCGTACAGAATATAAGCGCGGAATAGTGTTGAAGTATTATGAATAAAAAAATACATTTATGTAGGCAATTCAAAAGTAAAAATAATATATACTTCAAACATATTGAACATTTCAATAGCATTCATATTATATATGGCTCAATATAAGGATAATACGTCAAAAAAAAAAAATACGTTTTTTTTTTTTTTTATTATATACATAAATAATCAATTTTGGAATTTATATTTTTTTAATCAAAAAAAGTAGTTTTTTACAATTATAATATTTATAATACATATAATAATCATAACTAAATTTTTATGGACTATATTACATGGTCAGTTTATTACTATATTTAATATAATCATTCAATATTTATAAATAAGTCTATCTAATTAAATATCGTACCTATGACTGTTCACCTGTGATCAGTCGGTGCGATTGTATAAATGTATAACCCATATAAATTTAAACATTTTTTGATCAACTCATCGAAAATATAACATTATGTGACTTTTATCTTTTAAAAATATATTTTAACGTATAATATGACATTATGTATGCTTTAGACGTTTTATTAAACTTAATTTGTAATATCGACATACGATGTCAATTCGTGAATTTTAAATGTTAAACATGAATATTTCAATTCCATAAACACGCTGAATTCCCTATTATAATGTCAAATTTATGTTTTACTATTTGAAATATTTTATTAAATTCTAAAAAGATTCCTTCACTATAGCGTAATCTAATATGACGTAATATTTTTATTGAATGGTTTATTGAATTCGTAAAATACTTATGAAAAATAAAGCTTAATATGTAGTTACATACAATTTTTAATTATCATCAATCATTAATTATTAGGTATGTAGGTAAGTGCTCTGATTTATGATATGAGCATTCATTTTAAAGATTTTTATAAGAAACATAGATTTTACTGAATTATTGTATTACTCAAACGGATAAAATTAAGGAAATAATAAATTAATGAATTTGTTATTATTCATTGTGTATAAAATCGCTATGTTAAATGTTTCCACCGATTCTAAATTTATACGTAAATTTACATATTCAGTTTTTCAATAATTTTCAGAATGGTGAGACATGTAAGTAATTTGTTTTATTTTTAATATTGTTTTTTTCGTGTATAATATTAATATGTTGGCCATCCATCTAGATTTTAGATCTTACTATCACATATATATGTCACCAATACAAATGGTTGAATCTTATGGTTTCACAGGTAAGATCGTTACTCTTCTATTGTTTCGGTAAGTGACTTATTATCGGTTTCTTATTTTTTCCTGTAATTTATGATATTTATAACATAATAGTAAGTGTAAAATAAATCCAATACTTAAGATATAATTACATAAATAGAATAATTGAGAATATTAGAAAACATATTTTAAATATACTTTGGTATGCAATCAATAAGTATAATAGTACAATTCCTCACAGACAATTTTATTTTATTATTTACAACTATATTTTAAATTTTAATAGTATAATATAATTTAAAGTTTTTTTTTTTTTTAAATATTTTAATTCATTTTATCTTTGATCCATAGTAGATCAAAGAAGTTTTATGTAGTGTAGTTCTTTTGAATATTCATTCTTCCAAAAAGTATATTTTTTTCAAGTATTGATAAGTATACACAGTATTCATTAGGTACACGTGATCAGTAATTTAACGATCTAGATTTGCTGAATAAATGTGAAAAAGTTACTTATTTACAACTTCTGCTTTTTATTATAGAATTGTATTTTAAGGATAGCATTTTTTTTTTTTTTTTATATCTATTTAATTTTTTATATGTTTGAATCTGACTTATTTTTCTGTTAAATTTTATTGAAAAAAATATTTTTGTATAACTTTTAAGTTTAAGTATTCATCATTTAGAAATTAGAGTTGAAATTTGAAATATATTACAACGCTTATCACAGACTATTATAATGTATTAAAAGTCCAAAAAAACGTTCATAACAATTTGTTTCGTTTTGAACACTCAAAATAATGAAATCTAATGTGCAATGTCATAATATAATGAAATCTATGGACAATGTAGTTCAGTTCTAAATCATTTTTCGAACGCAATGCTTCATCATTGCTTTTGAACTTATACATTATACATAAATTTTTTTTTTTTTTTATCAATGCAAACAAATAATAGTGATCAATCTTATTGTCCTGTCCTCTGTTTCATCGTTAACTTTCACAACTCTGTTTCCGTTTGTAACTCACTTAGGCCATTTTCCTCTAATATTCACGTTTGCTCTTTGTTCTGATGACTTACGAAACATAATGTATAATTTTGTATACTGTTAAAAAGCTTATGTATTCGAAACTAATGTGATTTGAACTTGATAGGAAAATAAGAAATATTTAGTGAACAAAATGTGCGCATAATGTACTGACTGCGTATACGAGTGTACGTGCAACAATAATAATTCTAAACATTCGGTTGAAGTCGATTAAATCATCTGCTTTTAAATCAGTGCAAATCGTATTGTCATGCTCGTACACATGAATGTCTCGAACAGAATAAGCTTAATAATATTAATATTTCTTATAACAATAACGTCTGGAGTTGTAATATAAGAAATACCCTGCAGCCATGCAGCAATGTATTGGTGTGCTTCACATACTGTATATACAATACGGTATTATTTTTATTATTATACAGAATCGATTGTAGACAGGACGATAATATTAAAATATCATATTTATATTCAGTCATATATAGTATTGTTATAATAATAATTTATTGGAATACGGTAAAAACACGCATCGAATTCCCCGAGCGTATTTTAAGACAGAGCGAAAGTCATGATCTGTGTGTATCAGTTAAATCAGATAAATAACGTATTAAACACTGGATCGAATGGTTACATAGATAGAAAAGTATAAATGAAAACTTTAAGGTTCAATTGCTAAGTTAAGAGAATCTTTTTATCATCGAGTTCTTGGTTACTAGTGAACAAATAATATATTATATAACACTTTTAGTGTTTATAGTTGATATTGATACAAATACCGACTTAACTCAATTACCTATTAAAATAATTTTTTTTTTTTTTTTTAGTAATTACACAATCATTTTAAACTTAAATACATTGTTTAAATCAATAGACTATTATTTTTTTTTTTTTAATATTTGTCGTATTTAATCCTTGAAGTACTGTGATTGATACCTATATATTATAAAATTAGGTAGCTACCTGTTGGTGACGACTAAATTATTTAATAGAAAAATATTAATCATTGAAGATCTATGGTTTTTTTAAATGATTGCAACGTTATTATAACAATTAGTCACTCTAAATTTATTTTCTAGTTAAAAAGTTATACATTTTAGACTAATATAGTTACAGTGAGTTTTTGGTCAATACTATCAAAAATTAAAAACAAAATAATTTCGACGACCATGAAGATTACTATTTATTACTGTACTACCGTTATTGTAAAGGGGAGGATCGCTGGCGATGTCGGTAGGAGAGAGACAAGTGAGGGCAATTTGAATTTGGTTATCGTTGAGTTTGTGATGAGGGGAGGGTTGGATCATTGACGCATCGCATACATATACATGCACTCATATATAATAGTACATTATGACGTATAGATAGATCGTGACTCCTACCTGTACGTGATGAACGCGAATATGAGTCCGACCAAGGACACGCTGCTACCGAGTACTACGATCAGAGAGAGCACGCTCTCCTGGCTTGCCACCGTCCATCCGTTGCCCGTCAGGTTACCCATAACGGGTACCCGTCGGGGGTAAATGCTTTCCATTTCAGCTACTCGTCTAAAATAAGCGATTCGTATATTACAATAAAGGTTATTATAATTTGAAACGCGTATATGGATAAAATAACTACAATTATAATAATTGTAAATATTGTCGAAAATGATTCACGAGAGTAAATTATTTTATTAAGACGACATATCGTTCGATTCGCGACCTGTCGTTGTGGCCGCGTCGTGCGACTAAACCCATTGGGTTTCAACGCTACCGCTACCGCCGACGGCGTTTCGGCGCACTCTCTGTGCGCTTCCACATTATATATGATGTATTATCTTATAATATTGTATTTACGCCTATAACTCTTAAGTCTTTATATTATATCATGTTTAATTAAAGGTACTCAGGTTTTAAAAATAAAAACAAACAGAACAATTGTTTAAAATTTTTGTATACATCAATTTAATTACATTATTTGGTACAATATAGGTACTTAGTTAAATAACAAATATTTTTCTATCATATTTTATTATTGAATTAGTGTACTACCAAAGATTAAGTAAAAATAATAATAACTGAATTAAACAATATATCAAACTAAAATATCATAGATAATTTATTGCGTATTATGATGTACACCCATATCACCTATATTGAATAATAGAATTAAAAATGTTTAAATAAAATCAATTGACAAAAATTGTTGTACGTATTTCTATTATTTTTCTAATCAATTTATATTTATTTTTAACGTCAACGAGTATAAGGGAAAATTACTTGATCTTTTTTTTTATATACACATAAAATATAATTCCTTGTTATTTTCATTTTCCTTGGGCTACCCTAAGGAATGACAGAAATTACAAAACATTAATAAATTTAACGAAAAATTATCACTGTTCTTTTAATTATTGCCAGAACAACGGGAAACTTGACTAAAAATGAAAAATAAAACAGTACGGTCCTTTTTTCCAAGTCTCAGAGCGTCGAAAGAATCAGAATATTATACTGTATGTTTTATACCTCACACTAAGTATAAAATAAACATAAAATTATTATAATTATTATGATCCTTCGAATTTTATTGTATAGTTATATTATATAAGTATATGTTTTTGGTGGATACATCAACGGCGATGTATTATAAACGAAACTATATGATTATCGATCGAGTTTTGAAAACGATGTTCCGACAAGATGTTGTCTTTGATAATAACATAGTATATATAGTATTATAATTTACTGGACACATTATTATTATTGTAATAATATTGATAACATGTCAAATACGTCGATACATGACGTTTGGTACGGTAAAAGTATGTCGTGTTTCAATTTTTCAAATTTTCCTCTCCGCTCCAAAATCGTCCATGTGGTTGTACCTGACTTAAACTTTTGTGAAATAACTCAATACATTGGCTTAGATTCAAAGACAAAATAAAATTATGTGAAAACTTTGTTATGATTACTGAGTTAAAAAATAATACAACTGTCAAGCGAATATAAAAAACAAATGTATACCTAATACACAACACGAGTAGGTACATCAATATTCGACGCATAGTGGTTATATTGTAGAGAAAATTGACCATTGGCATTATTTTAAAAATCGATATCATAAATATTACATTATAACAAACATGAATTCAATGGATATACATTTAATTCACTAAAATTGAAGGAATTAATTGTTAGCAGCCACTTCCAATAACACTGGATAAGAAATCGTATAGATTTATCAATATCCTTGGTCAACAATGACACCGATTAGAACAATGTATGATGAATAAGTAGTTATTATAATAATAATTAAAATACATATTTATGTAAACAATAGTTTGTGACTTTGGTTCAATTAGTGATGTAAACATTTCCTGGAATATTTCCAATAATGGGAATTTATTGGGATAATTATGTTGTATAATATTTAATAGTATTTAATTTAAATTTTAGTCAGAAATTATTAGAACAACAAATAATGTAAATGCAAACATATTACATGATAATAAGAAAACTAGTTAATGATCAACCCTAAAAAAGTCTTTTGCAAGTTATCAACTTAATAAAGCTGAAATACAAAAATACTATGCCAATCTTTAATTTAAAAAAATAAATTTTAATTAATTCAAAACAAAAAAATGCTATTGATTTATAGGCAGTTACCGTCTTATTCGTATTTTGCATCAGTCATCTTTTTTTCTTTTTTTGTAATGATATTTTCGAAAATTAGTGTGATATTTCCAAAATATGATTTGATCTCAAATGAACGCTCGTTTACTATATTCCTAGTGAAAAATTTCTAGTCTCATTAATAATCCAATCATCGATCGAAAAATATTATACAATATACCTACATATTATTATAGATGTAAAACGATGCATGTGTATCAACAGGTGTGAAATGTATATATTATTATACCTACTAGCATTGATTATAGAATATACTATCCATAATCAATGGTATTATAGTGTACTACTACTTCAAAAATTTTAAACTTTACTATTTTTGTTTAAAAACTAGGAGTCATGTTAAGTGTATTGTCCTAAGCAGAAGTTATTTGCTGGTTAACATTGTAATCCATAGGTGAAATTTACGCGTGTTTATATAAAAATACGTTGTAGGGAAAATGAAAAATGTTCAAACAAGAGATTTTTTTTATTTTCAGTATTTTTGTTTTTAACTAGGTATGACTATAAGTTTTTGTAATTCTAAGAAAACATTTTTACAATTTTTTTCTTTATGTTAAGTAAATATTTTTTAATTGTCTTTTCCATTGTTGAGTTCACAAGCATGCAATAGTATCTAATAATGTTTTTATATAATATCGAGGAGAAAATTAAATAAACAATAATAATAAACCATTTATAATATAATCATTGTAGTTAGCAAAATAAACTTTTAATTTTAATTATACTTATTGACGATATTATTAAATAAATATATAAATATTGAAATATTGGTATGGATTCTCGTGAAACTATTTTGAATATTAATATACACAATATAAGCATTATTATAATTTCTTTTTAGTTTTATAAAATATTTTAGTGTAATAACTGATATTTTTGTTTACTTTTGTATATATGTATTTAATTATATTTTAATGAATTATGTTACAGTTATCTATAATTATATTATCCCAATTATTTATTTTTTTGTTTTGGTAAAAAATGAATATATTATATTGTTTAACTCAGCTATGTTTAGTGAAACGTTTTATGTTTGTAAAATAATATTTAATAACTTTTTTAACAGTAATAATATTTTAATTTCATCTTTGTATGCATTTCCGTCCTCCAAATTAAAAGTACGATTACGCACATCGTTTGTTATCACTAACCATAACTTTCGAATAACTATATCCATCAACATTGTTTTTATTAAAAATGGTATTTCTATAAAAGTTAAAGTAAAACTTTCGAAAAACGATAAAAATAATATAAAATATTATACTCTGGTTACATTTTAAACATAATAATAAAATATAATTATTTAAGCTATTTGTGAGAAATACGCAATTATAATGGAATGCATAAATTATTAAAACTGTTTCATTTGAAAAATATCGTCAGTTTTATTGATCTATAAAAATTATTGTATTACATGTTTTTTTTTTCCTAAGAATAATACATCTCTTACAAACTGTACACTTGAATCTATTAAATCAACACTTAAATAATTTGCTTTATTTCACATGCTGATATGGTACTAATCTTTATATATAGATTTATGCAAATATAAAATACTCTCGATTATCCGTAAGATAAGGTGGCATGACATCTACAGAAAAGCAAATTCCGTGAATAATCTGCTAAATTCAAATTAAAACGAAATAAGAACACCTTATGTTTTAAATTGAGAATTAAAAATATAATATGACGTATCATCTTTATATTATTAATTTTTTTTTTTACAAAAAAATCGGTAACAAGTGTTTATTTCAAATGGAAATTACGATAACGCAGCGAGTACTGCACGTGTACTAAGTCGACGTAATGATCGAATTGTATTAACGTGCAACCCGCGTTATCGAGTTATCGTTTATCACGACCCAATTAGGCCGATTCATGAAACCGTAATCATGCATTTAGTGATTATGGAATAAACATAATTTTTTTTATTTTTTTGTATGTGTATGGTTCCACAGAAGATCGCAGATTATCCACTCGAGGATAATCGAAAATACACAGTATATATGTATAATGTATATATACATCTAAATATATCTAATCTGAATTTAAATATCAATGAACATTTCTATTTTTGTTCATAAACAGAATAAACAACTATTGTACCGATTTACGTGTTTTTTTTTTTTTTTTTTGCAAAATGGTACGCATTCTTTAGAAAAAGTATAAAGTTCTTGAAACTAGTACACCTAAATAGTACTTTAGGATGGGTACAAAATAAGATATGTTATTAGTCGCCAACAATCTAACTCAATGACCCGATCATTTTTCGAGCTTTTTAAGCAGAGCAGCTTTGCTCGTATTCCCTTACGACTGCTGCCTACTAAACGAGACCAAGCAGTCAATGAGGCTCACAGACTTGTTTTTGTCGATTATTGTATTCTTATCAGCCATTTTGATCTTTTGATCACTAAATTGAATGACTATTAGAGCGGGCAGTGATCCGGGGTTTTCTACTTTTGTTTCCGTGTATTTCCTACAAGAAGGCATGAGTTTAAAATCGAACCATGGCAGTGTAGAATACTGAGGCGAACGCTGCTTACTGTTGGGTATGCCTGATACCCCAGTTATGGGCACGTAACTGGAATTCCATGACAAGTTGGGGGTTTAGGGGTTTTTTTCAGGATTTTTCTTCCCTCAGTACATTTTCTCAAGGCGAAAAATCTGCATCCTGCCTTACCGCTCCCCTCTAGTTAAAGAGATAGGTGACTCAGATTTTTTATCGTGGTTTCCTTCCACTATAACTTTGCTAAAAACTAGCAGGTTACCTCAAACTTGTCCCCTTCCAGACAATCAAGGTTAGGGGTGACTCTTAGAGCTCTACCTCCTATCGATTAAGGTCAGGAACGAATAAAAACCACTTAAATAGGAACCTAATTAAAGATTCGCATGCTCTTCCACCACGTCAAAGTAGTTCCCATCGACGGAAACTTTACCTAATTTATTATTATTATTATTTTTTGGTTAATAATTTTTTTATTTCTAAATTTTATCTATGATTTCTAAATATTTTAATATAAAAACTTGTAATAATTGTATCA